TGTGTCAGGAGCACAGATTGGAGCACAGAACAAAGCACATCGCTCTGCGCTACTTCCTTGCTCGAGATTTGCAGCAGCGTGGTCAGCTTCGTCTTGCTTCCGTGGCCACTCAGGCCAACACTGCTGATGTCTTCACCAAGGCACTCCAGCCTTGTGATCATCAGCGTTTCTGTACTGTTCGAGGCCTTGTGCCTACTGTGCCTCACTTGCTTACTTCTTGACTCTGCTTGTACTGTGATCCTTATATATGTCTACCTGCATGTTTACACTTGCTAGGTTGTGATCACTGTACTTCTTGTTGTATTATCAAACTACATGTGAATTGGTCTTGTGACCGCTTGCTTGTGCTCGGAATTTGTGTGGTGTCCTTGAGATCCACCCTGAGCTTGCTTTGCTTCTCCGAACAGTTCTTGTGACCTCTTGTTCTCCCCCACTTTGCCTATGGGGGTGTGTCAAACATATGTTATAGCCTATTTAGGCTGTAGTGGGTTAGACAATAGGGGGTACATAATTTCTAGGGTTTCCCTATATGTACCCATCTCCTTTCTAGTTTATCCATTCCTCGTATTCTTCTCACACGCTCTACTGCATTGCTTGTGCACTAAGATGCGTTGCTCGCGCCCTCTACTGCATTGCAAGCGTGTTTAGCTCCGTTGCTCGTGCCCTCTGCTGCGTTGCTTGCGCGCTCTGCTGCGTTGCTCGCGCGCTCTGCTGCGTTGCTTGCGCGCTACACTGCGTTGCTCGGGCCCTCTGCTGCTAAATCGCGCCCTCTGCTGCGTTGCTTGCGCCCTCTGCTGCGTTGCTCGCGCCCTCTGCTGCGTTGCTCACGCCTCTGCTGCGTTGCTCGCGCCCTCTGCTGCGTTGCTCGAGCGCTCTGCTGCGCTGCTCGCGCGCTCAACTGTATTCCTCGCGCCCTCTGCTGCGTTGCTCGCGCCCTCTGCTGCGTTGCTCGCGCGCTCAGCTGTGTTGCTCGCGCCCTCTGCTGCGTTGCTCGCGCCCTCTGCTGCCTTGCTCGGGCGCTCAGCTGCGTTGCTCGCGCCCTCTGCTGCGCTGCTCACGCGCTGAGCTGCGTTGCTCACGCCCTCTACTGCGATGCTCGTGCCCTCTGCTGCATTGCTCGTGCCCTCTGCTGCGTTGCTCGCGCCCTCTGCTGCGTTGCTCGCGCCCTCTGCTGCGTTGGTCGCGCCCTCTGTTGCGATGCTCGCGCCCTCTGCTGCGTTGCTCGCGCCCTCTGGTGCATTGCTCGCGCCCTCTACTGCGTTGCTCGCGTGCTCACCCGCATTGCTCGCGCACTCTGCTGCATTGTTCGCGTGCACTGCAGCGTTGCTTGCGCCTCTGCTGCGTTGCTCGCGCCCCTGCGGTGTTGCTAGCGCGCTCTGCTGCATTGCTTGCTCGCTAAGATGCATTGCTCGCGCCCTCTACTGCGTTGCTCGCGCCTCTGCTGCGTTGCTCGCGCCTCTGCTGCGTTGCTCGCGCCTCTGCTGCGTTGCTCGCGCCTCTGCCCCATTCTCCCGCTTTCCATCACCCCGCCCCATTCTCCCGCTTTCCAGCACCCCGCCCCATTATCCCGCTTTCCATCACCCCGCCCCATTCTCCCGCTTTCCAGCACCCTGCCCCATTCTCCCGCTTTCCATCACCCCGCCCCATTCTCCCGCTTTCCATCACCCCGCCCCATTCTCCCGCTTTCCATCACCCCGCCCCATTCTCCCTCTTTCCATCACCCCGCCCCATTCTCGCGCTTTCCATCACCCGCCCCATTCTCCTGCTTTCCATCACCCCGCCCCATTCTCCCGCTTTCCATCACCTCGACCCATTCTCCCTCTTTCCATCACCCCGCCCCATTCTCCCTCTTTCCATCACCCCGCCCCATTCTCCCTCTTTCCATCACCCCGCCCCATTCTCCCGCTTTCGACCACCCCGCCCCATTCTCCCTCTTTCCATCACCCCGCCCCATTCTCCCTCTTTCCATCACCCCGCCCCATTCTCCCTCTTTCCATAACTTCGCCCCATTCTCCCGCTTTCCATCACCTCGACCCATTCTCCCTCTTTCCATCACCCCGCCCCATTCTCCCTCTTTCCATCACCCCGCCCCATTCTCCCTCTTTCCATCACCCCGCCCCATTCTCCCGCTTTCGACCACCCCGCCCCATTCTCCCTCTTTCCATCACCCCGCCCCATTCTCCCGCTTTCCATCACTCCACCCCATTCTCCCGCTTTCCATCACCCCGCCCCATTCTCCCGCTTTCCAGCACCCCGCCCCATTCTCCCGCTCTCCATCACCCCGCCCCATTCTCCCGCTTTCCAGCACCCCGCCCCATTCTCCCGCTTTCCATCACCCCGCCCGATTTTCCCGCTTTCCATCACCCCGCCCCATTCTCCCGCTTTCCATCACCCCGCCCCATTCTCCCGCTTTCCATCACCCGGCCCCATTCTCCCGCTTTCCATCACCCTGCCCCATTCTCCCGCTTTCCAGCACCCCGGCCCATTCTCCCGCTTTCCATCACCCCGCCCGACTCTCCCGCTTTCCAGCACCCCGCCCCATTCTCCCGCTTTCCATCACCCCGCCCGATTCTCCCGCTTTCCATCACCCCGCCCCATTCTCCCTCTTTCCATCACCCCGCCCCATTCTCCCGCTTTCCATCACCCGCCCCATTCTCCCGCTTTCCATCACCCCGCCCCATTCTCCCGGTTTCCAGCACCCCGCCCCATTCTCCCGCTTTCCATCACCCCGCCCCATTCTCCCACGTTCCATCACCCCGGCCCATTCTCCCGCTTTCCATCACCCCGCCCGACTCTCCCGCTTTCCATCACCCCGCCCCATTCTCCCGCTTTCCATCACCCGCCCCATTCTCCCGCTTTCCATCACCCCACCCTATTCTCCCGCTTTCCATCACCCCGCCCCATTCTCCCTCTTTCCATCACCCCTCCCCATTCTCCCTCTTTCCATCACCCCGCCCCATTCTCCCTCTTTCCATCACCCCGCCCCATTCTCCCGCTTTCCATCACCCGCCCCATTCTCCCTCTTTCCATCACCCCGCCCCATTCTCCCTCTTTCCATCACCCCGCCCCATTCTCCCTCTTTCCATAACCCCGCCCCATTCTCCCGCTTTCCATCACCCCGCCCCATTCTCCCGCTTTCCATCACCCTGCCCCATTCTCCCGCTTTCCATCACCCCGGCCCATTCTCCCGCTTTCCAGTACCCCGCCCCATTCTCCCGCTTTCCATCACCCTGCCTTTCCATCACCCCGCCCCATTCTCCCGCTTTCCAGCACATTGCCCCACTCTCCCGCTTTCCATCACCCCGCCCGATTATCCCGCTTTCCATCACCCCGCCCCACTCTCCCGTTTTCCATCACCCCGCCCCATTCTCCCGCTTTCCATCACCTCGCCCCATTCTCTCTCTTTCCATCACCCCGCCCCATTCTCCCTCTTTCCATCACCCCACCCCATTCTCCCGCTTTCCATCACCCGCCCCATTCTCCCTCTTTCCATCACCCCGCCCCATTCTCCCGCTTTCTATCACCCCGCCCCATTCTCCCTCTTTTCATCACCCCGCCCCATTCTCCCTCTTTCCATCACCCCGCCCCATTCTCCCGCTTTCCATCACCCCGCCCCATTCTCCCGCTTTCCATCACCCCGCCCCATTCTCCCGCTTTCCAGCACCCCGTCCCATTCTCCCGCTTTCCATCACCCCGCCCGATTCTCCCGCTTTCCATCACCCTGCCCCATTCTCCCGCTTTCCATCACCCCGCCCCATTCTCCCGCTTTCCAGCACCCCGTCCCATTCTCCCGCTTTCCATCACCCCGCCCGATTCTCCCGCTTTCCATCACCCTGCCCCATTCTCCCGCTTTCCATCACCCCGCCCCATTCTCCCGCTTTCCATCACCCCGCCCCATTCTCCCTCTTTCCATCACCCCGCCCCATTCTCCCGCTTTCCATCACCGCCCCATTGTCCCGCTTTCCATCACCCCGCCCCATTCTCCCGCTTTCCATCACCCCGCCCCATTCTCCCACTTTCCATCACCCCGCCCCATTCTCCCTCTTTCCATCACCCCGCCCCATTCTCCCTCTTTCCATCACCCCATCCCATTCTCCCGCTTTCCATCACCGCGCCCCATTCTCTCTCTTTCCATCACCCCTCCCCATTCTCCCTCTTTCCATCACCCCACCCCATTCTCCCGCTTTCCATCACCCGCCCCATTCTCCCTCTTTCCATCACCCTGCCCCATTCTCCCGCTTTCCATCACCCCGCCCCATTCTCCCTCTTTCCATCACCCCGCCCCATTCTCCCTCTTTCCATCACCCCGCCCCATTCTCCCGCTTTCCATCACCCCGCCCCATTCTCCCGCTTTCCATCACCCCGTCCCATTCTCCCGCTTTCCATCACCCCACCCGATTCTCCCGCTTTCCATCACCCCGCCCCATTCTCCCGCTTTCCATCACCCCGCCCCATTCTCCCGCTTTCCATCACCCCGCCCCATTCTCCCTCTTTCCATCACCCCGCCCCATTCTCCCGCTTTCCATCACCCCGCCCCATTCTCCCTCTTTCCATCACCCTGCCACATTCTCCCTCTTTCCATAACCCGCCCCATTCTCCCGCTTTCCATCACCCCACCCCATTCTCCCGCTTTCCATCGCCCCGCCCCATTCTCCCGCTTTCCATCACCCCGCCCCATTCTCCCGCTTTCCAGCACCCCGCCTCATTCTCTCGCTTTCCATTACCCCGCCCCATTCTCCCGCTTTCCAGCACCCCGCCCCATTTTCCCGCTTTCCATCACCCCGCCCGATTCTCCCGCTTTCCATCACCCCGCCCCATTCTCCCGCTTTCCATCACCCCGCCCCATTCTCCCTCTTTCCATCACCCCGCCCCATTCTCCCGCTTTCCATCACCCGCCCCAGTTTCCCGCTTTCCATCACCCCGCCCCATTCTCCCGATTTCCAGCACCCCGCACCATTCTCCCGCTTTCCATCACCCCGCCCCATTCTCCCGCTTTCCAGCACCCCGGCCCATTCTCCCGCTTTCCATCACCCCGCCCGACTCTCCCGCTTTCCATCACCCCGCCCCATTCTCCCGCTTTCCATCACCCGCCCCATTCTCCCGCTTTCCATCACCCCACCCCATTCTCCCGCTTTCCATCACCCCGCCCCATTCTCCCTCTTTCCATCACCCCTCCCTATTCTCCCTCTTTCCATCACCCCGCCCCATTCTCCCTCTTTCCGTCACCCCGCCCCATTCTCCCGCTTTCCATCACCCGCCCCATTCTCCCTCTTTCCATCACCCCGCCCCATTCTCCCTCTTTCCATGACCCCGCCCCATTCTCCCTCTTTCCATAACCCCGCCCCATTCTCCCGCTTTCCATCACCCCGCCCCATTCTCCCGCTTTCCATCACCCCGCCCCATTCTCCCGCTTTCCATCACCCCGCCCCATTCTCCCGCTTTCCAGTACCCCGCCCCATTCTCCCGCTTTCCATCACTCCGCCTTTCCATCACCCCGCCCCATTCTCCCGCTTTCCAGCACCCTGCCCCACTCTCCCGCTTTCCATCACCCCGCCCCACTCTCCCGCTTTCCATCACCCCGCCCCATTCTCCCGCTTTCCATCACCTCGCCCCATTATCTCTCTTTCCATCACCCCGCCCCATTCTCCCTCTTTCCATCACCCCACCCCATTCTCCCGCTTTCCATCACCCGCCCCATTCTCCCTCTTTCCATCACCCCGCCCCATTCTCCCGCTTTCCATCACCCCGCCCCATTCTCCCTCTTTCCATCACCCCGCCCCATTCTCCCTCTTTCCATCACCCCGCCCCATTCTCCCTCTTTCCATCACCCCGCCCCATTCTCCCACTTTCCATCACCCCGCCCCATTCTCCCGCTTTCCAGCACCCCACCCCATTCTCCCGCTTTCCATCACCCCGCCCCATTCTCCCGCTTTCCAGCACCCCGTCCCATTCTCCCGCTTTCCATCACCTCGCCCGATTCTCCCGCTTTCCATCACCCCGCCCCATTATCCCGCTTTCCATCACCCCGCCCCATTCTCCCGCTTTCCATCACCCCGCCCCATTCTCCCTCTTTCCATCACCCCGCCCCATTCTCCCGCTTTCCAGCACCCCGGCCCATTCTCCCGCTTTCCATCACCCCGCCCGACTCTCCCGCTTTCCAGCACCCCGCCCCATTCTCCCGCTTTCCATCACCCCGCCCGATTCTCCCGCTTTCCATCACCCCGCCCCATTCTCCCACTTTCCATCACCCTGCACCATTCTCCCTCTTTCCATCACCCCGCCCCATTCTCCCGCTTTCCATCACCCCGCTCCATTCTCCTGCTTTCCATCACCCCGCTCCATTCTCCCGCTTTCCATCACCCCGGCCCATTCTCCCGCTTTCCATCACCCCGCCCCATGCTCCCTCTTTCCATCACCCCTCCCCATTCTCCCTCTTTCCATCACCCCGCCCCATTCTCCCTCTTTCCATCACCCCGCCCCATTCTCCCGCTTTCCATCACCCGCCCCATTCTCCCTCTTTCCATCACCCTGCCACATTCTCCCTCTTTCCATAACCCGCCCCATTCTCCCACTTTCCATCACCCCACCCCATTCTCCCGCTTTCCATCACCCCGCCCCATTCTCCCGCTTTCCATCACCCCGCCCCATTCTCCTGCTTTCCATCACCCCGCCCCATTCTCCCGCTTTCCATCACCCCGCCCCATTCTCCCGCTTTCCATCACCCCGCCTTTCCATCACCCCGCCCCATTCTCCCGCTTTCCATCACCCCGCCCGACTCTCCCGCTTTCCAGCACCCCGCCCCATTCTCCCGCTTTCCATCACCCCGCCGGATTCTCCCGCTTTCCATCACCCCGCCCCATTCTCCCGCTTTCCATCACCCCGCCCCATTCTCCCTCTTTCGATCACCCCACCCCATTCTCCCGCTTTCCATCACCCGCCCCATTCTCCCGCTTTCCATCACCCCGCCCCATTCTCCCGGTTTCCAGCACCCCGCCCCATTCTCCCGCTTTCCATCACCCCGCCCCATTCTCCTGCTTTCCATCACCCCGGCCCATTCTCCCGCTTTCCATCACCCCGCCCGACTCTCCCGCTTTCCATCACCCCGCCCCATTCTCCCGCTTTCCATCACCCGCCCCATTCTCCCGCTTTCCATCACCCCACCCTATTCTCCCGCTTTCCATCACCCCGCCCCATTCTCCCTCTTTCCATCACCCCTCCCCATTCTCCCTCTTTCCATCACCCCGCCCCATTCTCCCTCTTTCCATCACCCCGCCCCATTCTCCCGCTTTCCATCACCCGCCCCATTCTACCTCTTTCCATCACCCCGCCCCATTCTCCCTCTTTCCATCACCCCGCCCCATTCTCCCTCTTTCCATAACCCCGCCCCATTCTCCCGCTTTCCATCACCCCGCCCCATTCTCCCGCTTTCCATCACCCTGCCCCATTCTCCCGCTTTCCATCACCCCGCCCCATTCTCCCGCTTTCCAGTACCCCGCCCCATTCTCCCGCTTTCCATCACCCCGCCTTTCCATCACCCCGCCCCATTCTTCCGCTTTCCAGCACCTTGCCCCACTCTCCCGCTTTCCATCACCCCGCCCGATTATCCCGCTTTCCATCACCCCGCCCCACTCTCCCGCTTTCCATCACCCCGCCCCATTCTCCCGCTTTCCATCACCTCGCCCCATTCTCTCTCTTTCCATCACCCCGCCCCATTCTCCCTCTTTCCATCACCCCACCCCATTCTCTCGCTTTCCATCACCCGCCCCATTCTCCCTCTTTCCATCACCCCGCCCCATTCTCCCGCTTTCCATCACCCCGCCCCATTCTCCCTCTTTCCATCACCCCGCCCCATTCTCCCTCTTTCCATCACCCCGCCCCATTCTCCCGCTTTCCATCTCCCCGCCCCATTCTCCCGCTTTCCATCACCCCGCCCCATTCTCCCGCTTTCCAGCACCCCGTCCCATTCTCCCGCTTTCCATCACCCCGCCCGATTCTCCCGCTTTCCATCACCCCGCCCCATTCTCCCGCTTTCCATCCCGCTCTCCATCACCCCGCCCCATTCTCCCACTTTCCATCACCCCGCCCCATTCTCCCTCTTTCCATCACCCCGCCCCATTCTCCCTCTTTCCATCACCCCGTCCCATTCTCCCGCTTTCCATCACCGCGCCCCATTCTCTCTCTTTCCATCACCCCTCCCCATTCTCCCTCTTTCCATCACCCCACCCCATTCTCCCGCTTTCCATCACCCGCCCCATTCTCCCTCTTTCCATCACCCTGCCCCATTCTCCCGCTTTCCATCACCCCGCCCCATTCTCCCTCTTTCCATCACCCCGCCCCATTCTCCCTCTTTCCATCACCCCACCCCATTCTCCCGCTTTCCATCACCCCGCCCCATTCTCCCGCTTTCCATCACCCCGTCCCATTCTCCCGCTTTCCATCACCCCACCCGATTCTCCCGCTTTCCATCACCCCGCCCCATTCTCCCGCTTTCCATCACCCCGCCCCATTCTCCCGCTTTCCATCACCCCGCCCCATTCTCCCTCTTTCCATCACCCCGCCCCATTCTCCCGCTTTCCATCACCCCGCCCAATTCTCCCTCTTTCCATCACCCTGCCACATTCTCCCTCTTTCCATAACCCGCCCCATTCTCCCGCTTTCCATCACCCCACCCCATTCTCCCGCTTTCCATCGCCCCGCCCCATTCTCCCGCTTTCCATCACCCCGCCCCATTCTCCCGCTTTCCAGCACCCCGCCTCATTCTCCCGCTTTCCATTACCCCGCCCCATTCTCCCGCTTTCCAGCACCCCGCCCCATTTTCCCGATTTCCATCACCCCGCCCGATTCTCCCGCTTTTCATCACCCCGCCCCATTCTCCCGCTTTCCATCACCCTGCCCCATTCTCCCTCTTTCCATCACCCCGCCCCATTCTCCCGCTTTCCATCACCCGCCCCAGTTTCCCGCTTTCCATCACCCCGCCCCATTCTCCCGATTTCCAGCACCCCGCACCATTCTCCCGCTTTCCATCACCCCGCCCCATTCTCCCGCTTTCCAGCACCCCGGCCCATTCTCCCGCTTTCCATCACCCCGCCCGACTCTCCCGCTTTCCATCACCCCGCCCCATTCTCCCGCTTTCCATCACCCGCCCCATTCTCCCGCTTTCCATCACCCCACCCCATTCTCCCGCTTTCCATCACCCCGCCCCATTCTCCCTCTTTCCATCACCCCTCCCCATTCTCCCTCTTTCCATCACCCCGCCCCATTCTCCCTCTTTCCATCACCCCGCCCCATTCTACCGCTTTCCATCACCCGCCCCATTCTCCCTCTTTCCATCACCCCGCCCCATTCTCCCTCTTTCCATCACCCCGCCCCATTCTCCCTCTTTCCATCACCCCGCCCCATTCTCCCGCTTTCCATCACCCGCCCCATTCTCCCTCTTTCCATCACCCGCCCCATTCTCCCTCTTTCCATCACCCCGCCCCATTCTCCCTCTTTCCATCACCCCGCCCCATTCTCCCTCTTTCCATAACCCCGCCCCATTCTCCCGCTTTCCATCACCCCGCCCCATTCTCCCGCTTTCCATCACCCTGCCCCATTCTCCCGCTTTCCATCACCCCGCCCCATTCTCCCGCTTTCCAGTACCCCGCCCCATTCTCCCGCTTTCCATCACCCCGCCTTTCCATCACCCCGCCCCATTCTCCCGCTTTCCAGCACCTTGCCCCACTCTCCCGCTTTCCATCACCCCGCCCGATTATCCCGCTTTCCATCACCCCGCCCCACTCTCCCGCTTTCCATCACCCCACCCCATTCTCCCGCTTTCCATCACCTCGCCCCATTCTCTCTCTTTCCATCACCCTGCCCCATTCTCCCTCTTTCCATCACCCCACCCCATTCTCCCGCTTTCCATCACCCGCCCCATTCTCCCTCTTTCCATCACCCCGCCCCATTCTCCCGCTTTCCATCACCCCGCCCCATTCTCCCTCTTTCCATCACCCCACCCCATTCTCCCTCTTTCCATCACCCCGCCCCATTCTCCCGCTTTCCATCACCCCGCCCCATTCTCCCGCTTTCCATCACCCCGCCCCAATCTCCCGCTTTCCAGCACCCCGTCCCATTCTCCCGCTTTCCATCACCCCACCCGATTCTCCCGCTTTCCATCACCCCGCCCCATTGTTGTTGCATATTCGGGTGGCCCATGCTCAAATATACCTACCAAAGCAATTACAGCTTGGTTCGTGCGCACCAAAAAGTTCGGCGCATGCGATGACGGCTGTGTCTGCCGACAAATGGTGACGAAGTGCATGAATCCTCAGGCGTAGGGAAAAGCATCGAACTACCTGAATGTTGTTGCATATTCGAGTGGCCCATGCTCAAATACATATACTAGAGCAAATCCAGCTTGGTTCATTTGTCAAACATATATGACATAGTCTGTGTAGGCTGTAGTGGGGTAGTCAATATAGGGTACAACACTTTTAGGTTTCCTACTTGTACCCACCTGCTTGCTAGTTCAATCATTTCTTCGTTCTCATTCTGACATGGTATTCTGAGCAGGTTCCCTCGTGGGAACGTTTTTTTTAGGGCCCACCACTGAAATTTTCCTTCCTGCCCGAAGCGCGCTGTCACGCCTGCCTCTCCTGCGCCGTCGCGCGCCCTGTCCTGCTGTCGCGCTAGTCGCGACCCTGCCTGAGCCGCCCGTCGCGGCCCTGCCTTGTCGCCGCCCGTCGCGACCTAATCCGCCGCCCGTCGCGGCCCTGCTTTGCCGCCCGTCGCGGCCCTTTCCTGCCGCCCTACGTCGCGACCCTGCCCTGCCGCCCTACGTCGCGGCCCTGCCTTGCCGCCGCCCGCGGCCCTGCTTTGCCGCCCGTCGCGGCCTACCATAGCCGCCCGTCGCGGCCCTACCCTGCCGCCCCTGGTCGCGGCCCTGACCTTGCCGCCCGCCGCGGCCTCTGCCCTGCCGCTGCTCGTCGCGGCCCTGCCCTACCGCCGCCCAGACACGGCCCTGCCCTGCTGCCGCCCTGTCGCGGCCCTGCTCTGCCGCCGACGCGTCGCGGCCCTGCCCTTCGGCCGCCCCAGTCGCGGCCCTGCTCTACCGCCGCCAAGTCGCGGCCATGCCCTGCTGCCGCCCTAGTCGCGGCCCTGACCTAACCGCCAGCTGCGGCCCTGCCCTGCACCCGCCCCTGGTAAGCAACCACGCCGCCCAGCCGAGCCGCGCCGCTCCTCCGAGCCGCGCCGCCCTGCCGCGCCGCGCCGCCCTGCCGAGCCGCGCCGCCCAGCCGAGCCGCGCCGCCCTACCGAGCCGCGCCGCCCTACCGAGCCGCGCCGCCCTACTGAGCCGCACTGCCCTGCTTCTGCTGCTACTGCTGCTACTACTGCTACTGCTGCATCTGCCGCTATGGCTAGTCCTACTGTTCTTGCCTTTGATGCTGAGGGTCGTGCTGTTGACTTTGAGGTTTGGGTAGACGACCTACAGCTCTTTCTCCAGTGCGACTCCAAGGACGGAGTCTCCTTGTTCGATCACACGTCCGGTGTCTCTCCTGCACCTGCTGCCACTGCTGACAGTACGGTTCGCTCGCAGTGGACTACTCGTGACGCTGTTGCTCGTCTTGCTGTTCGTAGTCACCTGCCGTCTGCTGAGCGCGCGCACTTTGGCCAGTACAAGACTGCAAAGTCTCTGTATGACGCTGTTGTCGCGCGCTACTCCTCCCCTGCCACTGCTGCCCTCAGCCGCCTCATGCTGCCGTACCTGTTCCCTGACCTTGCTGCCTTTACCACAGTTGCTGACCTCATTACTCACCTCCGCACTAGTGACACCCGCTACCGCGCTGCGCTTCCCACTGAGTTCTGTGCCAAGAACCCCCCCCCCATGTACATCACTCTCTACTACCTAGTCACCCGTCTCGCTGGCTCCCTCTCTTCACTCGGGGACCACTTTCTCTCCCTTTGCCCCACTGAGCTCACCGTCGACCAGCTTGAGGAGCGCCTTACTGTAGCTGAGAAGAGTATAATTGCTGTAGGTGCCTCTCGCGGCGACCCCCGCGCCCCTTTCTTTGAGGGGTGCTCCCCCGTCCCCCTTCTCCCCTCTGTTGCTTCTGCTGCTGCTGTCGACCTCGTTGGCACTGAGGAGGTCGGGGCTGCGTCTGCTCCTAGTGGGAGACACCGCAACAGCAAGGGCAAGGGGGGCAGGGGTGGTGGAGGGGACGGAGGGGGCGGTGGTGGAGGCGGTGGAGGGGGCGGAGGGGGTGGCGGTGGCGGTGGGGGTGGTGGCGGGAGTGGGGGCGGCAGTGGAGGTGGTGGAGGCAGCGGCAGCGGCGGTGGAGGTGGAGGCGGTGGAGGCGGTGGTGGTGCTGGCCGAGGGGGTACCGCACCGCGTGGAGACTTTGGCGGTAGCCAGCGCCAGCAGCAGCCGCGTTCCCGTGAGACCCTTTCGCCCTGCAGCTTCGTGAGTGGTACGCTGGGCGTGGGAGGGCTGGGGGTGTTGGTCCCTGCACTTACGTTCTTCGCACAGGCGGGCGCCGTGGAGAGACATGCGGACTGCCGCACACTTCGCATCGCTGCTTCGGTCGCCTGACTGACGCCTGGCGTGCCCATTTTCCTGACGGCGCTGAGCTCCCTCGCTGGGGTGATCTGCTTAAGCAGAATGTTGCTATCTTTGAACTTGATTTCGATGCTATCCTTGCTGCCATGTATGCTGTGACTGATAGTGCTGAGGGTGACTGTTACCCGTGTGTTCCGCCCGACCCGGGCATTGAGGCTGCTGCTCTAGGTGCTAGTGAGTCCGCTGCTCCAGGTGCTAGTGAGTCTGCTGCTCCAGGTACTAGTGAGTCTGCTGCTCCAGGTGCTGGTGAGTCTACTCTCTCTGGTACTGCACCTACTGAGGCCTTGCACACTTTCACACTTTACTCAGGTGCTTCGTGCTCTTTCTTTCGCGACAGCACCACACTCACGCCGCTCAGTCGGCCTGTTGCAGTCTCCCTGGCTGACCCCTCTGGGGGCCCAGTCCTTGCGCACTCCTCCACGGTTTTACCGTGTCCTGCGGCCCCGTCGGGCTTGCTGTCGGGACTCCACCTCCCCTCGTTCTCTACGAACTTGGTGAGTGGAGCTGACCTCCAGGACGTGTGGGTTGACCAGTTCACCCCTGGAGGTCAGCGTGTGACCCACTGCACTTGCTCTAGGACGGGCCGCCACCTGGCCACGTTCACCCGTTGGCCTGGGTCGAGCCTGTACACACTAACTACTGCGTCTCCTCCTGTTCCTTCGTCCGGTCAGGTAGCTGCGTCTGGTCAGGTGTTTGCTGCTGCGTCCATGTCTAGTCCGGCGTCTGCCCCCTGCTCGTGTTGCCCTCTGTCGCACGAGACTCTCCTCTGGCACCACCGCCTTGGTCACCCCTCCCTGCCTCGCCTTCGAGGTATGGCCTCCCGTTTCCTTGTCTCAGGTCTCCCCCCGTCCTTCCCTCCCCTTCCTCCGGGGCCTGCCCCTACCTGTGTTCCTTGTGTTGAGGGCCGGCAGCGCGCCGCTCCTCACTCCTCCGAGTTTCCTCCGACAGAGGCTCCTCTGCAGACTCTCCACATGGACGTGTGGGGCCCAGCCCGCGTCGGTGGACAGGATCACGAGCGTTACTTCTTGCTGGTCGTTGACGACTACTCGCGTTACACCACAGTCTTCCCCTTGCGCCGCAAGGGTGAGGTCACTGAGGTGTTGATCGACTGGATCCGCGCTGCTCGTCTCCAGCTCAGAGAGAGTTTCGGCTCGGACTTTCCTGTTCTGCGTCTGCACTCTGACAGAGGTGGAGAGTTTTCCTCCGACCTTCTGAGGGCTTTCTGTCGTGCGGAGGGCATCCGCCAGACGTTCACGCTTCCGGCCTCCCCACAGCAGAATGGGATTGCTGAGCGCCGCATTGGTATGGTCATGGACGTCGCTCGTACGTCCATGATCCATGCGGCTGCTCCCCATTTTCTGTGGCCTTTCGCGGTTCAGTACGCTGCGCATCAGATCAACCTTCAGCCTCGTGTCTCCTTGCCGGAGACCACAGCTACACTGCGGTGGACGGGGAAGGTTGGCGATGCGTCTGTGTACCGTGTCTGGGGATCTCGAGCCTTTGTCCACGATACTTCCGCGGACAAGCTGTCCTCTCGTGCTGTTCCCTGCGTTTTCCTTGGCTTCCCCCCTGACGCGCCTGGGTGGCAGTTTTACCACCCCACCTCGCGCCGTGTTCTGTCCTCTCAAGACGTCACGTTTGACGAGTCGGTCTCTTACTACCGTCTCTTTCCCTACCGCACTGCCCCTCTCCCCCCCCCCCCGCCGCTCTTCCTAGCACCAGGTACTCCTCCGGTAGACCCCCTCCCCCCTCAGGGTCCTGCCCCCTCAGGTGTGTCCCAGGTAGACCCTGTTGAGCCGGTCGAGGTAGCTGTCGACTCTGGTGCTGCTAGGGGTGCTGAGCCTGCGGGTGCGGGGCCTGGGGGTGCTGAGCATGGGGTTGCTGAGTCTGAGGGTGCGGAGCCTGGGGTTGCTGAGCCTGGGGGTGCTAAGTCTGGGGGTGCGGAGCCTGGGGGTCCTGAGCCTGTGCGTGCGGAGCCTGGGGGTACTGAGCCTGGGGGTGCTGCGTCTGGGGGTGCTGAGCCTGAGCGTGCTGAGTCTGGAGGTCCTCCGGGTGGCTCGTCACAGCGGGAGCCCCCCTCTCCACAGCGGCTGCGTGAGTGGTACGCTAGGCGCTGTCGTCGTGCTGCTGTTACTGGAGCTGCTGGAGGTGCTGCTGGAGCTACTGGAGCCACTAGAGGTGCTGCTGGTGCTGGAGCTACTGGAGCCGTTGGAGGTGCCGCTGGTCCCGGAGGTGCTCGTACTGGAGGTACTGGAGCTGCTGGGGCTGGTGGTGCTACAGGAGTTGGGGCTGGAGGTGCTGCTGGAGCTGGTGCTACTGGAGGTGCTGCTGGAGCTAGTGCTACTGGTGGTGCTGCGGGAGTTGGAGCTGGAGGTGCTGCTAAAGCTGGTGCTGCTGGTGGTGCTGCGGGAGTTGGAGCTGGAGACCCTGGAGCAGAGGGTACTGGTGCTGTCTCTGCTGTTTCTGGAGGCGCTGCGCGGCCGCGACCGTACTACGTTCCGCTCCTTCAGCAGGTTCTTGGCCTACCGCCTTCTATTGGTCCTCCTCCTCCTCCCTTACTGAGTCCACCGCCTGTCCAGTCACAGTCGCAGATACTGCCACCCTCTCCACTGCCTGGTCCTTCTCCTTACTCTGGACCAACTAGAGGTCTTACTGAGCGTCGTGCGCCTGAGTCTCGTCCTGCGTCGCCTGAGTC